AAAAAAAAAAAGGTCCTTTATTTAAAGGTTGGACTTCTTCTGTGGTTTATACGTATACCAGTCTTCTGGCTCAAAAAATGTATCTGAATTAGTTCAAATCAAAGGATAACTGACTGAAACGTGAGTGAAAGCACGATAGAGCTGTGGATAATCTGACCCGCTCAGACCTGCTGACCTCTGGGGGATCAGGTGTCGCCTCACAGGCGTCTGGTTCTGGTTCTGGATCTGGATCTGGATCCTGTTTCTGGAACTACAGTGGGGGGAATAAGTATTTGACCCCTTGCTGATTTTGCAGGTTTGCCCACTTACAAAGAATGCAACGATCTATAACTTTAATCATATGTACATTCTAACAGGGTGGCACGGTGGTGTGGTGGTTAGCACTGTCGCCTCCCAGCAAGAGGGTTCTGGGTCGGATTCCCGGGGGAACCAGGACCAGAGGGTTCTGGGTTGGAGTCCCGGGGGAACCAGGACCTTTCTGGGTGAAGTCTGCATGTTCTCCTGTGTCTGTGGGTTCTCTCCGGGTTCTCCGGCTTCCTCCCACCCTCCAAAAACCTGCATGTTAGGTTGTTGGACTCCAAACTGCCCTCAGTGTGAGAGTGTGTGGTTGTTGGTCCTTGTGTGTCTCTGTGTGGCCCTGTGATGGACTGGTGGACTGTCCAGGGTGTACCCTGCCTCTCCCCATTGGCTACTGGGATAGGCTCCAGTTCCCCCCGCGACCCCATTAGGGAATAAGCGGTATTGATAATGGATGGATGGATGTACATTCTAACAGTGAAAGACGGAATCCCAAAGAAAATTCCAGAAAATCACATCATATGAATTTATAAAAATTATAACCATCTGATGAGGAAAAATAAGCATTCTTTGTAAGTGGGCAAACCTGCAAAATCAGCAAGGGCTCAAATACTTATTTCCCCCACTGTATTTTCCAACTGGATCCCTCCGGTCATCAGTGGACTGTGGTCTAAAGCCTTCACCAGCTTAAGACCATCCAGACTGTTTAATGTGTCGTTCCAAGATGGAGGAACCAGCTAACAAGCTAAAGAACAGCAGAATCCCTGTCTGTCTTCAAGAAACTCCTGAAGACCCCCCTCTTCAAAGATCATCTCCTATCCTAACCCTAACCCGAAACAGAAACATAAAGCTTATGGAGTCTATCCTGGCTTTCCTTGGGGGGGGGGGGGGGGGGCACCCTTGGACAGGTCACCAGTCACTGTGATTCATTTATCGTTTTTATTTTTCTGAGTTTTTAGCTGTTTAATGCACGAAAAAAGTGTTAGTGTTAAGATTCCTGCTGATACTGGTGCTCTATTTGTCAGTATTGTATTGTTCAGCTAAGAGTTCAAACCTCTGTAAGGGAAATTCTTATAAAAAACATTTTTCAAATAGAATATGATGCAATTCTTACATTTTTTTTTGCTCTGAAGCTAATAGATCCCATCTTAACAGAAAGACTCACTGACAGAATCAAGCTCACGTCAGTGTCTTTGTTTATTAGCTGCCACTTTGTTAAATGAATCCCACGACAAAGCAAGAGACTAATATGAAGAGAATTTCCCCTAAATGACTTCCACACAGGAGCTATTGCTGCTAAAGGTGATTCACAGGGGGATGCTTAAAGGGTTTGCAGAGCACTTGAGAGTTTCTACTTTAATAAATCATGACATGGGGTCACGTGTTGTGTGTTGTGTGTTGTGTGTTGTGTGTTGTGTGTTGTGTGTTGTGTGCTGTTGTTGGTCTGTATGTCTCTGCTTCTTCGCTTTAAGGTGGCTAAACTAAATTATTGACATTATCACTATCACTTATTTTAGACCTATATATATATATACATATAGTAACTTATGTATATATTTATTTATATTCCATGTGGAATTTTTTATATACATATATATATATATATATATATATATATATATATATATATACATATATGTATATGCTGTTGTTTTATTTTTGGAGTTAGTAACAAAAATAAACCTCTGGGATTATTAAAATATTTCTGATTCTGATTCTGATTCTTATAAAACTTTAAGAAAATGTTAAACTAAAAAGGTTTGTCTTACTATATTAAAAGGGTGAGATTGTAAAATATAAGGTTAGAAATGTACCCATTTTCCACACACATTGTGGTCTTTTTACTGACTTATCACCATGTAACGCACTCAGATTAAACCACCACAACACACAGGTCAGCGTGTGCTTATTTAATGATACACTGTTAACCCCATTCTTTAGTTGGAAACCTGAGAATAAACCACAGTGGATCAGAAGTATAAAAAATAACATTTATTGGTCACAGTTAAGTGTATCAGCTGGGCTCTGACAGACTAAAACCTCTCTCTGGGTCTCAGTGGGCAAAGAGCCCTGAGATCTGGGTGATGGGCATTATCTCCTGGGCTCCATCCGCCTCCTCAAAGGAGGACTGGACACAACCAAGTCCTATTGGCCAGTTACCTCTGGGCACGAACAGGCCAGGTCCTAATTCATGCAGATGACAGGAATGTGGTAACAAATGGTGTGTGTGTGTGTGTGTTGACCTAAAGGTGGATCTAATGCAACAGAGAGAGAAAAAGAGAGAAAAGAGAGTCTGTGGACACAGCCAGAGACTTTAACACAAAATATAGTTATAAAAGGAAATAAAACAACACAAACTATAATTCTATAAGGAAATAAAACAATCAGTAATTTACATAGATCATGTGATACTATGCTAAAGTGAATAGTTATAGCCAAATTCTAACAGGAGGACTGGACACAACCAAGTCCTATTGGCCAGTTACCTCTGGGCAGGAACAGGCCAGGTCCTAATTCATGCAGATGACAGGAATGTGCTAACAAATGGTGTGTGTGTTTTTGTGATATAGAAATCAAATTGAATTGAATTGAATTGAATGCCTGATTCTGATAAATGGATCTATCCAAAAGCTCTACTCAGTCCTACTACACACTTATGTGAATCAGGCGTGTGGAAGCAGGGAAACCTCTAAAACCTGCAGAAAAATAGCCCCCAGGTCCAGATACGGATACCCCTAAACTTAGATGAGGATTTTATTTTAATCTCCTTTTCTTTCCGGGCATCTGAGGTCTCACAGCACACTGGATGTAATAAACACTGTATTTGTGAGATCCTCTGATCCTCCATTTTGTCAGTTTGTGCCCCCCCCCTCCCTCCCCCCCCCCCCCCCCTTTACTTCTCCTATTTCCCGTTATAAATGAGCCGCTGGACAAATTGCTTGTCCCAAACAAAGGCGGGAGGTTTAGCAGGTATCACGTTGTGAGGGAGTGTTTGGTGAAGTATCAGGTGAGCTGACGCTTTGCAGCCTCTAAATAGTTCATTCAATCCCCCGAAAACCTGAAAATAGGTCAAAGAAAGACATTAAACCCTGGTCCAGGTGACCAACTCAGACTGGGTCGTTGGTACCTGTTGGTTTAGCTAACAGACAAGCTAGAATAGATCAGTGTTTTAAGGTAGAAACACATTTTTTTTCCTGGTGAAAGAAGAGAGTCTACTCTTTCTTTTGGTGTGTTTACATAGTCATAGGACAAAGTATTCTGTGGCTCTTGAAAAATCAGTCAAAATGCTAAAAAAAACTCTGGCAGTCAATGAGTTAATTTGTTTGACTTGTTTGTTGGTTCGGTTTGGTAACTTATCGCAGTGTTTTTCAACCCCTGGTCCTCGGTACACTAGTGTGCCGTAGAAAATCATCCTATTTCACCTAATTGGTCTAAAAAGATTTTTTTTTTAAAGGAATTAATTATCTACAAATAATATTACATTTCTGAGTGTGTGTGCTGTTCTAGTGACTGGTGGAGTAATCATGTAATAATTCCTTATGACTAGATTTTGTATTTAATTTTGTATATTGAAGTGGACATGTTAAGTGCAATTTGACAGAAGAAATATAAAATATGCTAAAAAATACATTTTTACATTCTAGATTTTGTATATAATTTTGTATATTGAAGTGGACATGTTAAGAGCATTTTGAAAGAAGATGTATAAAATATGATAAAAAATAAAAAAAATTGTTTATTTGATTCCTATTCAAGACACTTAAGATAAGATAAGAATAAGATAAGAATAACTATAGTGTTACTATAGGCGGCTACAGATTTGTTTGACATTTTTGTTTGGTGGTGTGGAGTTTTTCCATGAAAAAATGTACCTTGGCTCAAAAAAGGTTGGAAAACACTGGAATAGATCACCCAGGGAAACAGCCAAAAACCATCCAGCTGAACCTCTTTAACCACTGGGTCACACCCACTGTTCCCAGTATTGTTTCTGAGGCCCCAGAACCCTTTATGAACGTGCCACCGTCCCATGATATGTTATTAACCCTTTAAAGCCTGATCCAAGAATAAAACTAAACAGAAAATTACTTTTTTTGGTTTGAATTCCTTATTTGGCCTTTTAACAAAATATGTAAAGAGAAAAAACAGAAATACATTTTTAATATTAATAATTTATTACTATGCGATAAGTCCAGATTATTTTTTGTGTAGTCTTCTGCCCCCTGTTATCAGGTGTATATGATTGTGTACAATAGGATTTT